TAGACAGTGGAAAAACTATGTCAAACCTGTTCGAATACACTCATATTGAAGTCGTGTTGCATATTTTTGTTTCCTGCCCAGAGGAAGACGGGCGCCGCGAGCTGGACGGCGTAGTGGGCCCAGCCGCGCCGGCCCTTGGGGTGGCGCCAGCCCGTCACGGGCGCGGCCTGGACGAGGAGGTGGCGCTCGGGGTGGCGCCGCCAGTACTCGTCCGTCACGCCGAACTCGCGGACCCAGGCCGACGTGTCGTTGCGCTCGAGGATGTCGAGGAGCGCGGCGCCGTGCCTCGACGGCGCGTCCGGACGGCCCGTCGACCGGTACCTGCGCGGACGTTTAACCGCGCGCCGCGACGTCGCGGGCGAACGCGGCCGCGCGGCCGCGTCGACGTCGTCCGGGCCGACGTTCGCGCGGGCGAGCGCCCCGCGGGCGAGCGCGCGACGGGCGACCCGCGTCGGAACCGTTCGCATCGGCTCGCGCCGACGTCGGGCCGACTGTGCGATTGGCCGCGCGGACCGGCGCTCGATGTCGCTGTAGAAGGGCACGAAGTAGAAGTCCGCGCGCTCCGGGTCGTCCGTGCGCACGCACGCCTGCGAGAAGAAGTCCGCGAGGACGAACTCGAGCGTGAACTGGGCGAGGAGGTGCTCGCCCTCGAAGTGGGTCCGCGCGGGGCTCCGCCGGGCGGCGGCCGCGAGCTCGTTGAACGCGTAGGACGGCGAAAACTCGTAGCTGTAGACCCGGACGGCGTAGGGGCAGGCGGCGCCGCTGGCCCGGCTCGGCACCGCCGGGAAGGCCGACGGCGGCGCCACGGACGCCGCGGCGAGCGGCAGCCAGCGCAGGCGGCGACGCATCGACGACGCGGCGCGCGCGGCCGCGCGGGCAACACGAGTCTAACCCAAGGATGACTCTGGAGCACGCTGCGAATAAATATGGTGCAGCTGTTTTAGATGTCCTTCAGGCAAAACCTTGAGGCGTTCGCGGTTGGCTTGGCTATTAGTCGCACTTGCTCAGGCTCTCCCTTAGTAGATTCGCGTCGCTAAGCATCCGAATCCGTTTTTTTTTGTATCTCACATTGTCGTTGACCTCGGCGATGTTCATTTTGTGTGTTCATTTTGTTTGTCTATTTTTTTTTTTTTGCGGAGATATTCTACCCGGAGGTGACTGCGCCCCACCAGCTATGCCAGCAGCTTTTGACATGGAACATAGTATGTCGTAGTGCCTGGATGGCGCAGATAAATCTAAGATCAAGAAGAGTCTTGTCTTCGTGTGCGCTTGCTTTCAAATGCTCAAAGATGGGATGCTTGTCACGGTAGTAAACTAGCTTCAGTCCCTTTGTGCTATTTAGATACTGAAGGAGTTCCCTAAGGAGGACCACATGTTGCTCAGTAGGACCATGCATGCCTCTGGAGACTCGACTTACAGCCTGAGTAATATCGGGCCTGCAAGTGATGCTGATATAAATAAGAGAGCCAACAATAGATGCATAATTCTTAGTGTCATGGAGGTACGCCGTTAACTCCCTGTTATCCTTTACAAGGGGTTTAGCATCTGATCTCATTGGGACAGATTTTGTCCCTATGCCATTTAGAATTGGCCGTTCTTTGAAGAGTGCGTTAAGCTTCTCCTCAACGTCCATAGCAAGGCGCCCAAGGTGCTTATCATATTTGATGTTGATACCGAGGAAGCTAGACATAGGCTCAAACTGTGAGATATTGAACTCAGCCTTGAGTTGGTCTCTGAGTTCGACTACCATTCTTGGTGAGCCAGTGATGACAAGATCGTCCACTTCGCAAAGGACAAAGAGATTTTCCCGCAGGCCGTCTGATTGTACTTTGGTCTTATGATACAAAGAGGTTTCAGACGTGGCACGCGTGAATCCCAACTTTTCAAAGAAGGATGTCAAAGCCTTGTTCCAGAGCTGTGGAGATGTTTGAGTCCATAG